TCCTTATTTGCTAATAACTGATTTATTTGTCATCTTTTTTTAAAGGTTATTGACTTTGAGAATAAACCTGAAGAAATTCTCATACGAAGAGAAACCTCCCTTTTGCGTACTTTCAGTACAGGATACTGTCGGTATGTGACAGCCACCAGTCCTGATAACACATACTATTTTCCCATCTTCAGAAATATTTCTGCTGGACTGACCACCATTAAGGAAAATTCAGGTTAGAGGAAATCCTTTTTTATCACAGAAATGCTGAATATAAAAACCAGACAGAAAAGTATTTGGGACACACATAGTGTTTATCACTGCATTTTTAACTGTTTTGTGACATTTACATTTGTAAATTTACAACTACTTAAAAAAGTCGAGTAAATATTTTCAACTGTTTCTTTTTTATGTCACCAAAGGAAATGTGAGGTCTTTGTTCAAAATTACATCAATTTCATTTTTTATTCCCTCTTTCAATATTTTATGATTACATATAATAAAATAATCGTGCATAAATTTAAATTTTGCACCTTACCCACTTTCAAACCTGATTGTCACCAAGCAGCTCATTTAGTTTCCTTTTTGTGAAGAAAATAGGAAATTAAAATCAATTAATATACTGTATTAATCAGTTAGTTTACAAATTTCATCTGAGGTATTCTCATCTAATGGTAACAATGATTTAAAATAAACATTGATTTAGCCATCACTTCAAAACTATAACAAAAATGTTATAGCTATAATATGTAACAGCTATAATATTTTGTATTGTGTTGTTAGGCAAATTACCCCTCCAGGATGACTCAGAAGAAAGAAAGAAAGATATGGAAGAAAAAAAGATTTTTTTGCGTAAGTAAAATTTCATTGTGTATTTAGCTATAGTGGGTGGCACAGTGGCACTGTGGTTCAAATTGCTCATTGCATGGGGTTCTGGGGTCAGTTCCTGGGGGATTATCTGCATATTCTCCCCATATTTGCTTGGGTTTCCTTCAGGTGCTGTGGTTTTCTTGTAAAGGTCAAACTGGTAGGTTAATTGGCTTCTGGGAAAATTGGCCCTAGATTTGTAAAGTACTGTATGTACTGTATCTGTGTCTGTTTGCCCTGTGATGGACTGGATTTTCACCTAGCATGTACCCTACTTTGTGCCCATCATTGACAGGATAGGCTCCAGCTCCCCCTCAACTCCTTGCTGGATAAAGCAGTTAAAAAAATGGATGTATGGATTGATTTAGCGGTATTGTGCTAACACAATAACTCAATAGCTCCACCACAGTTCAACGTTTAATCATTCCTGGGAATCTTGTCGCAGACTTTTGGAAAATCCAGATACATAATGTCCTATGTAAAATGTGTCAGTAGTTTATGCCACATCTTTGGAAAAAATCAAATTTCTAAAGCAAAATCTCTTGAGAGTATACGTTTACCATTTATTGCCCTTGTATGCTGAGAGGCATTAAAACTTGCAAAGTTGAAATGTTATTAGTTTCAAATGCATGTCTCCTGCATTAATGTATCTCAGCGTGTCTGTCTTTCCAAAGAATGGCATTCACTTCCCCTCTCAGGAAAATAAATGTGTATTTTAGCTGCATGTTGAGTGTCAGAAGTTGGAGAATCTTGTCAAAGCTGACTACCATGACTTGAACACTTTTACTGATTTATCTTCCCTCTGCTATATTACTGTATGTGTTAGACTGCACTTCCTGAATTCTGCCCTATGTTATTTTTTCCACCAAAAATTTAATTTAAATTATTATTATATTATTGTATTGTTTAGATATGACATTATACTTTTTTGTCCCTTAGAAATGGTGGGCTGGAAACAGATGAGCGAAACTGTAGATGAGCTAAAGGTTAAGCTTGGAGGTAAATGTTTCATGGCATTCAATACATTTCTTATGGAATAACCATGTGTAATGGGTATAATATTGTGTCCATTTATCAAATCTACTAAAAGGCTAGAACTTCACAGAAAGGCACATAGAACTCTCCCGGGGGTATCTGCTGAGACAATTCAGGAGAGTTTAGCTGTATGTGGGAACGGTTGATAGTACATTTTATCACATACAGTACTGTAGCTGTGAGACCGCTGTCCGTAAAAAAGTATGTCATGGATCTCCAACCCTGGTCTAGGAGAGCCACAATCCAGCAGGTTTTGCAGGTCACCACTAATTTGATTTCTAAAGATATGAGACAATTCCATCCTTATCAATTAAACAGTTATTTTGTGAATTTAGAGATCATTAAGGAATAAAAGTCTAATTGCTCTTCAGTGGTCAATGAACAGAGTGCTCTTATTTGAGCAGATGACTTGCTTGATTCATCAACAGCTTACAGTGTGCTGTGAATATTTTCAATCAGTTGACCTATAAGACTTCTGAAACAGGTATGGGGACACACTGATTTACGTGATTTAGCTAATAAAATGAGCCATAGACCTTGCAGTGGACATATTGAGAACATGAGTCAAGACATTAATGTGCCAATTTTTTCACTTGGTTGCAGAAAAGCATTAAAATGCTTGACCCTTAAAAAGGTCCTGACAATTTATATGAATTTGTCCTAATATTATTATAATGCTAACCTAAATACTGTGTAATCAGCATTTATTCTGCAACCAGAATCTTAAACTGTTTTAGTTATGCTGTTTTAATTTACTTTATGTTCAAAAAGAAAAACTATTTGCTTGTCCCAGGTGTCTATAAACAAGTAATACATTTGTTTACTTGATGGTAAATGACAAATGCATGTCTTTTTTTGTTTGTTTTTCAGCTGCAGTCAGAAACCAAGGTAATAGTCTGCCCTTACAAATTTTGCCTTCAACGGTTAAAGAGTTTGCAATCAACACAATAACTTTTTACAATTTTTATATTGTTATACTTACAGATAAATTATGGATGTGCTTACCTTAATTCAATTGAATCATTTTCCCAAATTTAAGTCTGACTCTGACAAGAATATTATAAGTCAAGCTTGGGGGATGTTAGCAACCTAGATTTGAAATGTGTATCAAATTTGTTCCCAGTCTCAACTAACTCAGAATAATAATAGCTAATAGATCCTTGAACCTTCGGGTTTTTTTTCTAAATTAATACTTAAATAAAAAACTTCAGTCTGAGCAGGTATCTGTGGCAGGAGTGAAAACGTGTTGGTCCCCGACAGTCCCCATCCCACTCAAAGGAGCTTGAGTTATTTTGGTAATCAGATGTGCTAAGCTGGTAGAGACTTATCCAGACTCATGGGTGTAATCCTGCCAAATGTGCCCCTACCAAATATTTTCTTAAAGAGGGAGAAAATATTTACACTGCTTTATATTTAGAATTAATTTAGGGGGATCTGTGTAATTTTGTTTTCATTTACACACTATAGAGTGTTTTGTATAGATCAGTGACAAAAATCCCAATTAAAAAAGTTATGACGCCATATTGTAAAACAATAAAATATGAAAAAGTCCAAGGGGGGTGAATAGTTTTGAATACCATTTTAATAGGTTCAGACAATTAAAATTGACAAAATGATAAAGACCTCTCTCACTTTTTGAAGAAGCCTTCATCCAAGAGGAATAGACCAGAATACTGTATTAATTAATAAACTAAAAGAAAAACAAACTGAATTTGTGGTTGTCACATGGTACATTTCAAGAACTATGGCTGAGAGAAGCACAGCTGTAGCAAATTAATGGTCCTAATCACCACACCACTGAGACCAGTGCTCAAACAGAGTCACTATCAGGCCCGATAGTCATAGTCATACAACAAAAAAGACATTGCTGCCTTTTTATAAGAATGCAAAGAATGTAGTTTAAAGAATGCTTTGCACAGATTGATTACAGGACAGTTTAGTCTCGAACAGAAGTGACTATGGGGGTACTACAGCATAGATATTTCTACCCAGAGGACAATCATATGTACAGTATCATTTAGCACAAATACTTACTGTACTTGTAACTTGCCTAACATTCCTGTGTTCTGCAGTTTTAGTTTTATCTTGGGCAATAACATTTTGAATTCACATCCTAACAGCTTTTTTTGGTAAAGCTCCCTCTGAAAAGGCAAAGAAAAAGTCATTCTTAGTAAAAGCTTTTTCATTCATACTGTAAGTAAAAACTATTTTGTTTATTTTATTGTTAAACAAATTAGATTGAAAAATACTTAGATTATCTACTTTTTTAGCTAACAAAAATGTTGAAATTTTACCCACACATAAATGTTTAATATGTTTGAATAAACAATAGAAACTGCATCACAAAATATTTTGTAATCTTAATTAGAAAATGCAGTTTTGACAATAAAAAAGGCTTATATGAGAGACCACCTTCACTGAAGTATAAGGTTTTCAGAAAGTTTCAAATCATTATTCAAGAAAAGTGGACTATCTTACATCATTTTGATTTGACAGGGATCTGTGTGCTGACCTGTTTTAATTGATATGATTAAGGAAAACAGTATTTGATATAATACAATTGCAAATATTGCTTTATAATTCCAGCTTACATTAGAAAGCCAAATTTGTATTTGTAAAGTCTAGAAAGTGCAGATTATCTGTCAATGATCTATGTAGTTTATTGATTAAAATAGTTTTATGATGTTCTGCTAAATATACATGACCTATAGTTTTCCTGTTTCTGGAGTTCTGCTTATTTTTCTTTTTATTTGAGAGAAAGGCTTTTGAGAAATTTTGTATAAACTTCAAGGGTAGCAGTTGCCGGCATATTATAATGCTGATGTCTCTAAAGTTTTCCCTCAAGCTGTTCTAAGGTTTGCTATTTTATTATTTTTCCAGGAAACTTGTTCACACTTTCAGAGAAGAGCCTCTTTGGTATGTAATTGGTCGGTTGGTACACTGCCTAAATAACACTTCAACCTACTGTCCATTTCCTAATGATTATGATTCCATTAATTAATGGCATTTGATCAACATGTATTCTGAACTGAGTACTTTGCGTGTTTAGCTGTAAAGGAGCCCCAGTTCAGTTTTTTACTGTGTACAATACCGGAATATTTGTGAACTAAAAACTCTCTGAGCAAGACTAATGCAATGTTACTATAGTCATCTCCCATCTCATATAGAGGGGTTTAAAATATATAGCTTTTGTTTCATACAAAAACTTTTTATAGACAACAAAATGTCTTTTACACAAATATTTCTGTTTCCATTTTCTCAGCATTGAATCTGTGGACGGACTTCCGTGTTACGCTAAACCTAACAATATTTTCAAATTACCAAGAGAATTGTCGTTTAGCGCTTCTAAACTACTGACATTGGTATACAATAAAGCTGTAGTGTAAGTATAGCTATTGGTTTTTGTTATTACATAATTATTAAAAGCATGCTGCAGGATCATTTTATTATATTTTACACATGAACTTCTGATATCTTTATTGAAATGGTTAATTTACTTATCATTGCTTATACAGTATTTTTTTCTATAACTTTATAATACGGAAAGGGACATATAATTAAACAATACTAAATGTAAAGATTTTAGTGTACTAGTACAGTGTGCAATCGTATCTCTACGAACACATTAAAAAAATAGTATTATATACAGGTACAAGTAAAGGTTTATTCCATGCTGAAAAGAGAGCAAAAGAAACACGTTTCTGCTGTGGTGCCTTCTTCAGGTGTGTACAGGTATTTTAGATTGTGGCTTGAAAAGAGATTCAATTTGAAACTGATGTCAGTTGTAAGAAAGATAACTCTCAGGAGACACAAACATGAAAAATCTTCTACTTCATGTCTTTCAGGCATTATTTGAACAGTTTAACTAGCTTCCACCCAAAATATGGGGAGCATTCACTACCAGTAAATTACCTTCAAACCTGAAAATTGTACAATGCATTTGTGCTACTGCAGCATGATAGCTGTGCAATAGTTTGCTAAAGATTACTTGTTTACCTTGATTCCTGCTAAAGCTGTTTTTCTTATGGTGGTAAGGGAAAAGACTGCATTTTAAATCTTCCTTTTTCTCTTATGTGACCTTTTCCACATATAATTTAATTTACCAATCTACCTCCAGCACCAATCACTGTTTGATAAAAGCCACCATCCCTTGCAGGTAATTTATTAATTGTGAACGTTGAGCAGATTAATCTTAACCAACGTGGAACCAATATGTAGTAATGTAACAGTGTTTACAGAATTATTTTATTCTTTTTAAAAGGCAAATGCATAAAATTATACGTCGAGTTTGGAATTTCGGCCGCAAATGGAGAAAACTGGAACACATCCAAAGAGTATTTTTGTATCCAAGTAAAAAAGCAGGTTAGTAATAAATGGATATTTATTACTTGTGATAAAATATATGAAAAAGAGGAGTAGAGTGAAAGAATGTCATTAAACACAACAGACAGAGTGAATGGGCTAAAAAACTCATGCTGATCAAAAAGGTATTTAGAGTAGTTGCTTCCTGAAAGAATGTGGGTAATGACACTCCAGTGGCTTAGTCAGCAAAAATGTCATTGAATCAGTACTGAAGACTCGATCATAACAGTACAAGGGTCTAAAGATATTTTCTATGTCTCATACATATATCATTGTAATTAAGACTACAGGTTCATAAAGACACTGTAGCTCACAGTACCTGCCCTTAAAGATCTGACAGCTGGAATGTAAGACAAAACTCCTTAGATTGTGAGAAAGAAAATGAATTAACACTGTTATATTGATGCTTCTTCCTTATGCTTTTACTGACTTTTACTGACAAACAAACAATTGTTTAATTTGCTCAATTCTAAAATCATATTCATGATTTTAAATATCAGTTTTGCATTTGCTTAATGTAGAATATGTTTCCAAAAACTGGAAGGAGGATGCCTTTTTCAGCAGCCAGTTTCTCAACGGTTGTAATCCAGTATTAATTACAAAATATACTAAGCAGAAGATCCCAGCTGAGAAGCTAGAGATGTTCTATCCTGATATTAAAGCAAACATAATGGTACGTATATTTTCTGAGTGTCATCTCTCCTTAAGTCCTTAAATTTATTAGCATGTATTAAGCATACAAGCATAAAGTCTGAAGTCCATTATTTTAAAATCTAGGAAACAAAAAATTACCTGGCACTGTAATTTTCCAGACCTCTGTTTACAGTCCAAGCTCACTTATTCCTCTTATTCCTCAGTGCCTCTTTTTAC